TCCCGCGCGGGATTTCGAGCGCGGACGAGAAGAAGGAGAGGAGAAAAAAATGAGAATAAGGCCGCAGGAGAACCACACGAAAGGAAGGAGAGAGAGAGAGAGAGAGAGAGAGAGAGAGAGAGAGAGAGAGAGAGAGAGAGAGAGAGAGAGAGAGAGAGAGAGAGAGAGAGAGGAGGGTGGAGAAAGGGGAAACGCGCGGGACAACCGGCGGCCGAAGGGAAGACGTTTACGCCGTTCTTAGATGATGAGCGAACCCCCGAATCTCTCGGCGGGCCCCGTTGTCGTGATTTGCCGGGTTAGGACAACGGGAGATGTGTAAAACTCGAAACTCTCCGAGCCAGTTCTCAGAGAGCCTTTGTAAGTATTGATTCGTCTGCGTTCCTATAATTGTACAAAGTCGCAGCGCGTTACAATAGTAATCGTCATCGCGTCGGGGCCCGGGGGCGCGCTCGGCACGATGCCGTGATTAAGCGCTCGTGACCGTACGGCCGAGACTCCGAAGACGATCGCAGAAGAATACGGTCATAAGGCGCTTTACCATTTTTCTCGCTTGAATTGTAGACGCGTTGATTGGTCTCTCGGGCGTGTTTCTATCGTCGAGAGCGTGGTTGTTGCGGTGCCAACGGTGGACAATGGGCATACAAGCGCAATGGTCCCCCGAATCTCGCACGAAATTATTTTACATTAGAGTCGAAATTGGTGTGACTGAACGGTCCAGGAGGACTTTAAACCGGTTTGCAGCAAGCAAAAGTTCGAAGTCACATGCGCGTTTCGCGCGAGATTAGGGTGGAGATCTTTTGGAAGATATCGGACTACGAGTGGATACTTTAGGATTCGTGGCTGCGAGACGAAACCTAAAATCCAACGGACGAAAACCAACCCGGCGGACTCGGCTTGATGTACGATCCGCTCGGAAATGGCTGTCGTCGGGAGGGCGCGTCCCGATAAATCTTCCGGCTTTTTAATCGCGGACGGACTTGTCGTTCGCGTATAAATGCATCGTTTTCATCAATATTTATGCCGTGAGGGGGACCGGTGGGACCAATTGGGCTCCGAGTCGGAGTTGAGATGTCGTCGTCGTCGCGGCCGACTTTGCCGGAGTCTCACGAAGTCTCGAGCGACTCGCGGCTCCGATAATAAAGATATCCATTATGCTCGCCGCGGCTTTTTCTCCGGGCGGAACGAGCGTTCTGTGTGTTTTGC